GAAGTACAGAGGTCGTAAACCCTTCATCGTGAAGGCTGGAACAGAAGCCGACATTCCCACTGAGACACCTCGGTTTATGCGAAACCGGACATTTGATGCACTGGTAGAAAATGCGTGTAACCCTCCAGCTGGCAGTGCCCTAGTAGTTGGCAAAACACTAGTAGAAGTCCAGAACGGGAAAGTTCCAGTGCGTGTCCTTAATGTGTCCTCACACGATGTCGTGCTACGTCAAAATAGTTGTCTGGCAATGTTAGTTATGGGAAGAAAAGTTTCTTCAGCTTGCAGTCTTGCTGGTGACACCGCAACATGTTGTGAAGCATCCATTGGCAAATCTCCAACAGAAAGCCCTGATGTTGACCTTTGGTCTCTGTCACAGGAAGATAGATCACATGTCACCAGATTGTTACAAGAAAACCGAGATGTCTTTTCCCAGCAGCCGCACGACATTGGGTTTACTGAGACCATCGAGCACGAGATCCCATTAGTTGATCCCCCCCCCTTTTTAGGTTGCCATACCGACGAATTCCCCCGGTGCAGTTCCAGGAAGTCAGACGTCATGTTGCAGACCTCAAACAGTCTGGTATCATCCAGCCCAGTCAGTGCCCTTTTGCATCGCCAATTGTCATTGTGCAGAAGAAAGATGACAAGATCAGACTATGTGTAGATTATAGGAAGCTGCATTCAAGAACGGTGAGGGATGCCTATCCACTCCCTAGAATCGACAAGGCATTGGATGCTATAGGCAGAGAAAAATATTTCTCCTGCCTTGATCTGACTTCAGGTTATCACCAGGTTAAGATGTCGGCCAAGGATCAGCAGAAGACTCTTTGAGTTTACACGGATGCTTTTGGGTTGGTCAATGCCACGGCGACATTCCAGAGGCTCATGTCAACGGTGTTTGGTGACATGAATTTTGTCAGCTTACTAATATACCTTGGTGACATCATTGTATTTAGTTCTACTCTCGATGAGCATGTGGAGCGTCTTGGCCAGGTTTTTGCCAGGTTGCGAGAGCACCGGTTAAACCTTAAGCCTGAAAAGTGTCATCTCTTTCAGTCCCGTGTGCACTATCTTGGGCATGTTGTATCAGTCGATGGCATCGCGACCGACCCCGAGAAGATTGCAGCCGTCAAGAAGTGGCCGACACCCAGGTCGAGGAAGGATGTCAGAGGTTTTCTGGGCCTCACAGGCTACTACCGGAGATTCATCCACCAGTATGCTAAGATTCCTGCTCCCCTCTTCACACTGACCGGTGGACAGCGAGGCAGCAAGGAACCAAAATTTGTCTGGGGTGAGGAATGTCAAGTGGCTTTCACCACCTGGATATCGAAGCTGACCTCTGCACTTAAACTAGCATACGCTGATTACAGTTACAGACCAACACTTCAAGTGATGGCTTGGGAGCCATCTTGACTCAGGTGCAAGATGGCAACGAACGTGTTCTGCCATATGCGAGCCGCGCCCCATCCGCAGCTGAGAAGAAGTTCCCAGCCCACAAGCTGGAGTTTAAGGCTCTACACTGGGCGGTTAACAGATAAGTTGAAAGATTATCTGTATGGCAACAAAGTGACTGTGACAACAGACAACAATCTGCTTATGGATGGCGACCATTTAGACCCGGTTTGAAAAGGGCCCCCCGGTAGTCCACCCGGTATAATGCCTGCCCGGTATTCAGGCTGCTCCAGGCGGGTATCAGGCCTGTCTGCACATTGGCATTTCAAAGTCCCCGATGAAAGGCTTCCCCCACCATGCTTCCACAGATGAATAAGGGTCTAAGCGGATTAGTGTAAACACTGTA